GTGATGAGCAAAGGACTAGATGGTACTTGAATAATGATGACTGAAAAATATACTGTGTTTTGTATTAAATACTTTTTATGGTTTTATTTTGGTGAACGAAGGAATGTGAATCAGGAACAATACTTATGTGAAAAATTCGTGTTCTTTGGCAGAAAGACTATAATTTCCTTTTTTGCTGATGCTTATTAAAATCTTATGCTCAGTCAAAAAGCTTTTACGTGCTTTGGACTGAGGAACGTGAGAAAAATTTTGATTTTTCTGCTCATCTGTGTTATTAACATGAACCTCATTTCTGTCTCCTCCAACTTGGGAGCAGGACTGTAAGATTAGATGGATAGCAGTACCGCATCCGCTCTGCTCTGGGGCAGATGTTTGTCAAGCAGACAAAGCCCTTGATCCTGAGATGTCTGTGTCTGGACCTAGAGCATCGCCCACGCCTGAGTGGGGCTCAACCAGCACTCCTATCTGATCTGTACCATTTCCTGTCTAGGCTGGAGCCAGGGGGAGAAAGGATGTGTGGCCCCAGATGTGCTCCGTGTGCCTCATATTTGGGGGTGGGAGGGAGGTGCCAGGCAACCTAATATTATTTGCAGGTCAATTTCAAAAGTTCTAGTTTTTATGATAGTTCAGGGAGAGTCTAACTAAATTAGAAATGAGTAGGAACTTAAAGCTTTGCCTTTGATTTTGTATTTACTGAGCGGTAATCTTGGGACTGTGCTGTATGGAGGGTTACTCCCTGTTATCTTGCCTCTTGATTTGATTTCTCTTCATGAATGTTTCCTTTTGAAAATATTTTTGTCTAAAGAGTCGTGTGAGAAGATGTATGCTTAATGGTGAAGTGCAGGGGATCAATCAATACAGCCTTCCCAGCTCCCTGCCTTGCCTTGCCATAGGTCTGCAGCAGAAAAACCACCTGTCTTCTGAAACCTAGCTCTTATAAAAGATGTAAGGAGCTTGACAGTTATCCAAAGTCATTTTCAATTGCAAGCTTAACAGTGACAAGCATGGTCCATGCTTCCTTCTGGACTGTCTCCAGAAGTATTTCAAGAACTGATCTTTTTATTTATGGGTTTTATTTATGGATTTACAGATCACACAGCCGTTGTTAACTCTTGTGGAGGGAGTTTCCCCCACTGTAATAACTATTACACATCTTCCCACAGCCTTCTTATTGAACACTAACTCCTCGTCCTCTCCACTTTTTGTCTCTCTTGGCACCAACAGGATGCTTTCAGAACTTATCCTATCAGATAGGGAACAATTCATTCAGAACCACTGCCCTTATTTGCGTGTATTCAGTGCATTAATAATAGCAGGACTGAGATCTGTGGAAGAAAATGATGTCTGATGGCAAAGAGATAGCAGAAATCAGCAGAATCATGATCTCAGTGGTATAAAGCCAAAGATCAGCTGATGCCAACTGACTTTTCACTGCTGCTGATGCAGCCTCCTGTTTGCAACCTCCAGGGGCTGGCCCATAGTGCAGCTGGAATTTCATCTCTGCACCAGATGTGGATGGGCTTTGTTGGGCTGGAGCTGAAGGAGTGACACCGTGCCACCTCCTGGGTGGCAAGCAGTGTCTCTGGAGTGTGCTGCCAGCCCACCCCAAGGCTCCATCCTCAGAGGGAGTGGCTCTCATTGCAGCTAGCCCTGCTAAGATCAGTGCTGTTGCAGGGTCAGAGATAGGGAGAGCTGTGTCTTCCTTCTGGGAAGGCTACAGCTATACAAGTCCATGGCTGTGGTTTTGTAGGAGGTACACGTGGGGCAGACTTGCATCTTGTGTAAGCAGCCTTGCTGACCTAGAGCTACAAAGCGAGTTTTGAATCTTCCATCCTCTGACCGCTGAATGGTAAAATTGTTTCCTCAATATTTTATTAACAGCTGTTTTAAAATTTAATAGTTTTATTCTGCACTTTTGCACCAGTTCCCAAGTGTGGAGAGGAGGAGTAAGAATGCTTTCCTGTGCTTTTCAAATGGGTTAGTTTAACCCTGTTTGTGTTAATGAATGCATATTAAGGTCTTATTAGGCAGTTTGTCCATGGGCAAAGTTTCTGTTGATCTCACTGGGGAGCTTCGTCTGCATCAAAGAATTGCAAGATCAGGTTGTAATTTCAGAAAATGATTGTGACCTCCACTTAATGTTACAGTGTTTGTTTGTCAAGGCAAGTGAAAAGCAATGGAAAGACATGCTCCCAAATCCTGTGATTTTATTTTACAACCAATAGCCTGAGTTTGGATGTCCAAAAGGATGTCCACAGAGGCTGCCCTGACAGAAGTCGTTTTTGAAATAATAATAATTTGAGGAATAATCATAGAATTAGGCTATGCTTAAGATCAAATATAAAATTAAAGGACTAGGAAGCTCCTGAAGTGACTAGTGTGACTGGTGACAGGAACCATCCCAGCATTATGTGGGGTTGGCAGACAGTATCAATGACACAAGGTGGCTGTACCACCTCATGGTGGTGGCAGCAATTAGTTTCAGTTTAGTCATTGTACTATTCCTAGACAGGGCTCTGAATTTATGCAATAATTAAACTATTAAGTCATTTTTGAAACCAAATTTAGGTGCTTGAGTCACGTAGATGGTTCTGAAATGACTCCTGTCTTTCTGTCAGCCGTTCCTACATGGCTGATCCTGGAGGACACTGCGCCTAGTGGCTGCTGTTCAGTTAATGAGACGCTGGAAGAGTCAAGAGGCTGGTGGATATGTGCCAGCAATTGCAGCACAGAAAGGGATGAGCTGATGTGCCTGGGGTGTAACAGAGCCGTACCTTGAGCCAGAGACACCTGGAACTTGTCATCTTGATGGGGATGTGCATGCATCTTCCTTGCAGCTTAGGGATGGGCTTGTTGCTCATTGTTTCTCTGTCTGTTTCTAAGGGATTCCTCTCGGTCTGGTAAAATACCCTGTGGAGAGGGAGGAAAAACAAAATGGGAGATGGGAGTGTCAAACTGAACCCAAGTTGCACATGCTGACTGAGTAGCTCAGTCTACCCTGCAAGAAGGATGGTGATGAGATAGAGGGGCTGGGGCTGCACCCCCCACCCCAGGCTGTGGTTTCCCCAAACTGTGGGGTCTGGACTGGGATGAAAAGGAAGATAAGTAGGCATTTGAAAGAGAAGATAAGTAGACTAATGTGAGAGAACCTGTCTCTTCTGGATTAGTCCAGGTAACATGAAGAAGTGTATTATTTTTTCATATCAAGGGTGTCAGATATGGATTTGTGATCCTGATACTGCATAATCAATTCTTTCCCCTCTGCTGTGCTCTGTCAGGGATGGTTTCGCTCATTTGCAGTTCTTGTTTACACTTTCCTTCCTGTTTTGCTTGTCTTCATAGATTTTTATCTGAAAGTTGAAAAATTTTTGTTGATGCTGGGAAGATTTTGGGAAGATGTGAGTGATACAATGTGACGATAAAAGAGCCATTTGAGATGCATTTCTTAAGGTTGATAACGTTAAAATGTTGCCTGGAATCCATACAGTGCAAAGGAGAGGCAGGACCTCAGCAAGGACTCAGGGGCCAGTTAATCCCTTTGAACTCTCTCCATCCCAAGGTCAGGCATTTGCTCTAAACTGACTGTTTGGACACCCTTCTAGAGCATGGAGAGAGACGGTAAAGGACGAAATCCTTTCTAGAGATGTGCATCTTAAATAGTTCTTTTGGATTAGATCATCCCCTGGAAGTAGCTGTCTTTTTCCTCTAACAACAAAGAGAGCCTAGGCGACTTAATTTAATTTACTGTCCAAGATTTAGATAGTTACAGTAGGGGAAATGAATCCCCATCCTACTGATTTAGCAGTACAAACCTCAATGAATGTTAGTGGGAGTTAAGGCTCTTGAACCTTCCAAGTGCTTTAGATAATGCTGTTATTAAGTTTGATGTTTCCTGTGAGATACTTGGCTGTGGCTGGACTCACAAATGTGATTTTTCAGCTAAGCCTGAGACCAAGTTCTTCCTGGCGTAAAGGGAATACAGTAGTGTGTGAATGGCTGAAATTCTGCTTGCAACTGATGCAAGTCCTACAGTGATGCAGTCCATAAGACACACTACTGTGCAGTGATTCACCAAATCTACATTAGACACCATTTGGCTTCTTTGTTTCTACCTGGTGTTTCAGGTTAGATATTACTTTCATTTTAGAAGATATTTGAAAATGCATTAATTTCTTAGGGACACAGAAGGAATCTTTGTAGGCACAATTTACTGTATCTTAAGTCTCTTTCTAATAACAGTCTTTCTGTAGGTTTTCTTGCCCTTTCACAAGTGGGATTACTGATGTAAAATGTGACCCTCCAGATCACAGTGGCAAAGTTAGTGAAAAATGGCCTTCAGAGCCTTTGCCAAGCACAGTAGTCTTCTGCCCTATTTTCCTGCTGACATCTTTACCTCCTGATGTGGGGGCCCTGTGCTTCAGAAGCTTAGGGGAGCCCTGGAACCATTCTGAATATTCTGCAGCTTATCAGGAGGTACTGGCCAGGGGGATGTTTGGCCAATAAAGTACTCCATCACTTAATTATGTCCTGCAAATGGACTTAATTTGGAGATTGCTCACTGGCCTTAAATTATGTTCCTTTCGTTCCAGTGATTCCTTGACTTGTCTTATCCCCTTGAAGATGAGACAGGGTTGCCTTCAGATTAGGTTTCTTGTGTTGAGCTTAAACACAGCATTCCGGGGAACATGGTGGCATCATTAGGAGAGTGACAGCTGAGCTAGCAGTATTCCTATGGCATATGCTGCAGGTCAATTGTGGGCTGTTGCATAGTTTTCCTCTCAGCTAGTTTTCTAGCAATTCATCCTCATCTGCTGGGCATGTAAATGCTGAGGTTTGTTATAGTCCCTGCTAAATGTCTTCTTCAAAGTGACAGAGAGAGACAACCTTTGCATCTCTACCAGTACTCTTCCATGGTGAGATACTGAAGTGCATTTGGATAAATGTTACATCTTCCTTTTCTCTCACGCTTCCCTCCCCCCTCTCTGTTTTGTTTGTTTCAGGTTCTCGGCCCTTTTGGATCTACACAGTGGAAGTTGCATCTTGTGTATGGCGTGGTTAAGCTTGCAGCCTCTCACCTCGGCCTTCCTCCATTTTGGGCTGGTTACTTTTGTGCTGTTTTTGCATGGTTTGCAGGTGGATGCTGGCCTGACGGGAGACTCAACCAGTTCAGTACAAAACAGCTCGTGTTCAGGATCTTTTGACTGCAAGGAAGGTGTTATCCTGCCAATATGGTACCCAGAAAACCCATCCCTTGGGGACAAAATTGCCCGTGTTATTGTATACTTTGTAGCACTGATCTACATGTTCCTTGGAGTCTCCATCATTGCAGATCGATTCATGGCATCTATAGAGGTCATTACATCACAAGAAAAAGAAATCACGATTAAGAAACCCAATGGAGAGACCACAACAACAACCATTCGGATTTGGAATGAAACTGTTTCCAACTTGACCCTCATGGCTCTGGGCTCCTCTGCTCCTGAGATCCTTCTGTCTCTGATAGAAGTGTGTGGGCATGGATTCATAGCTGGAGACCTGGGGCCATCTACAATTGTTGGCAGTGCTGCCTTCAATATGTTTATCATCATTGCCATCTGTGTCTACGTGATCCCTGATGGGGAAACCAGAAAGATAAAACACCTGAGAGTTTTCTTTGTCACAGCTGCATGGAGCATCTTTGCTTACATCTGGTTGTACATGATCCTTGCTGTCTTCTCTCCAGGTGTGGTTCAGGTCTGGGAAGGTCTGCTCACACTTTTCTTCTTTCCGCTTTGTGTTCTTCTGGCTTGGATAGCAGATAGACGCCTGCTTTTCTATAAGTATATGCACAAAAAGTACCGTACTGACAAGCACAGGGGCATCATCATAGAATCAGAAGGTGATCACCCTAAGGGAATTGAGATGGATGGCAAGATGATGAACTCCCATTTTCTGGATGGAAACTTAGTGACTGTGGAGGGGAAAGAGGTAGATGAATCTCGCAAAGAGATGATCCGGATCCTTAAGGATCTGAAGCAAAAACACCCGGAAAAGGATTTGGACCAGCTGGTAGAAATGGCTAACTACTATGCCTTGTCACATCAGCAGAAGAGCAGAGCCTTTTATCGCATTCAGGCTACCAGAATGATGACAGGGGCTGGCAATATTCTGAAGAAGCATGCAGCTGAGCAAGCCAAGAAGAGCACCAGCTTGCATGAGGTGCGGCCGGATGAACCTGAGGAATTCATCTCCAAAATTTATTTTGACCCATGTTCCTATCAGTGTCTTGAGAACTGTGGTGCCGTTCTCCTGACTGTGGTTCGGAAAGGAGGGGATGTGTCCAAGACCATCTATGTAGACTACAAAACCGAGGATGGCTCTGCCAATGCTGGTGCTGACTATGAGTTCACAGAGGGGACTGTTGTCTTGAAATCAGGGGAGACCCAGAAGGACTTTGCAGTGGGAATTATTGATGATGACATCTTTGAGGAGGATGAACATTTCTTTGTGCGGCTCAGTAACCTCCGTGTGGTGGACAGTGAAGAACCTCCAGAGCTCGGTAACTCCCCATACCCAAAGGCCATACTGGCTTCTCCTTGTGTGGCCACAGTGACTATCTTGGATGATGACCATGCTGGCATCTTCACGTTTGAGTGTGATGTTATACATGTCAGCGAGAGCATTGGTGTGATGGAAGTCAAAGTTCTAAGGACATCAGGTGCTCGGGGTACAGTCATAGTGCCATTTAGGACAGTAGAAGGGACAGCAAAAGGAGGTGGAGAAGACTTTGAAGACACTTACGGGGAGTTGGAGTTCAAGAATGATGAAACTGTGTAAGTACCCTATTCATTCTTGATCCTCAGTCTAGTTTTGGTGTTTAACCTCACACTTTGCCCCCATTACAGGTGAATGCTGACAAGGGACAGGCTCCTTTCTTCAGCTTTTCTTCAATTTCCCTACTTACCTCTTTCAGGCAAGAACCGACAGCAGGATGTAAGATCTCAAAGTCTTTTGTCCCTTCCCTCTTGGGAATAACAAAGTGAGGCTTAGAAATACTGCAGGGGACAGGGGGAAAATATTTCATTTTATGAGGTCCTATACTCATGCTATGGGTTAATGGTGAGTTGAGGTAGAGGAAAGGGGGAAGCTTTTAACTGGCTGGGCAAATATGGGAAGGCCTCCTTTTGGAAAAAAAAAAAAAAAGTAAAAAAAGAGGGTAGAAAAAATTCTTGATATCCCCACATGAATATTTTACAACAGTTATTCCCACGCAGTCAAGAGCTACTCAGTAGATATGGGACTTTATTCTCAAATGAACAACACATCATACCTGCATCCTTAAGCTTCCTGTGCAACTTGCAGGTCTATGTGGCAGCTAATTCAAAGCATAGCCATAGCTGCAAGCCGTTCTGCTGGACTTGTGCAACTCTTACAGTATTTATGTCCCCTTGGTCTACCTGTATTCCCTATGTCACCTTCTCTATGATCTCCCTATATTTGTTTTTTTTTTGCTACCTGTGGTTTTTCTCCTCGTAAAATACCATGGCAATTGGCAGTAATGGACTAAAGTACTGCACTCACAGCCTGTCCATGTGGCTCTATGACCCAGTGTTTTCATACAGAGTTAAGAAAGGAAGCAAAATAGTCTGCACCAGTCCTGTTAATTCAGCTCTTTTATTGCGTACAAAGTAGCTGATACGAAGCTAGGAAGTAATAAAGACCAGAGAGGCGATAATGGCTAATTGCTTTAAGTACCTGCTGTTAACATTAGTGGGGAATGAGAAAAATACCTTAGCTGAGCTGGGAGAGGGAGGGGGTGTGAACCTGGTGCTAAAACTCCCTAGTGTTAAGTGCCTAGGTTGCTCTTGTTAACGCCTAATCACTTGAGCCATCAAAAGAATTGTACAGACTTGCAACTGGCATCAGAGAAAGGAAATCTTTGTACCCAGTCTCCCTGTACAGTATCCGAAAGGATGTTAATGTGTATTAAATGCCGTGGAATAGGGATGCCCTAATTCAAAAGCACCTTCTGCCTTAGCCTGCTAAACCACTTAATCCAGCTAATGTACATTAATGTCCTCATGCTTGATTGTAAGCACATGTTCTTCCCTATTAAAAGAACAGAAGTTCCTGGTTGGCTGAATTCAACCACAAGCAGATAAGGGGAGGGATCATCTGTGAATCTGGCCTTTTCTCGGAGATGGGCCAGGCAAGTTACTCTCCTAAATTGTCCCTCAAGCTAATTTCTCCAGGGAAAGCAAGGAAGAATATTGACTGCGTGGATGCAGTCTTCTGTGAGACTTCTATCTACAGTGTAATATGTACTACCACGCTTCATCCAGATCTTGAAGAAGAAGGGCTTTAAGAGCCATCAGTGAGAGGCTAATATATTTGGGGTACCAGAGAATAAGCCCAAGTGCTCCATTTGCCTTCCTGCTGATAGAAAACTTCTGTTTGTCTTAGAAAAGTCAGAGCATACTCACATAGTTGCTCCCTTGCATTAAAACAAATTACATTCGGCAGGACCACGTACATTCCTGTAGAACAGACTACTGATGAGGAAGGTAGTCCAGAAAACAGATGTGCTCTGGGTGCTTAATTTGTAGCCCAGAGAAGATGCCCCGGAGCACAGGTTGGACCTTTGTGTGGTCAAAACAATGTCCCTACCTAATACACAATGCGTCTTTCACTTCTGTGTCAGAAGGCTGCTGGGAACAGTTTCCAATCCACAGGGGATATGGGGCTAATGGAGAGAAATTTATTTTGAAGTTATATTAGTTTTAACTTCTATGTGGTTGGAGACCCTACCCACAGAGTGGGGGTTGAAACTAGGTGATCAATATGGTCCCTTTCAACCCAGGCCATTCTATGATTCTGTAATTAAATCAAACTAATAAACAAGGAGATGAGTCTTGTCAGCCTAACCATGTAGGCCAGCAAGCTGCCATTATTCATTGTCAGGTTTCATTTTAACTGTTTAGGTCTTCTGGGAATGGAGTTTTGGACTGGAAACACGGGAGGGTAGTTTTGATAATCACCCTTTGGACTTAAGCTCAATGAACACAAGTCAGGTGCTGTACGTTGCCAGTTCTTTGTTGCTGTGCAGGCAGCTACAATACTACTTCTCCAGCAAATGCTATCTAGTTTGGGTCATCCCTAGTTCAGAAGGACAGGTGCATTGGGTGTTTGGGGAAATTTTGCAGGTTCAGAGGATGAAGTTCAAGTGTCTGGTGACTGCATTGTGCAGTACAAGGCTGTATGAAAACACTGGGTCACCAAACAGCTGGAGTTCTGCCTGGCTGGATGCTTTAAAGCCTGCCTCTTAAATGTCTTGCCACTGAGGGGAATCTACCACGAGGTGTCCCTATGTGCTGAAGGGGAAACTGGGGGTCCACAAAACCCTGGGTAAGAGAGAAGAAATAGAAGGGAAACAGTGCTCAGTGCGCAGTGCTAAGGATGCGTAGCCTGAAGGCAACAAAAGATTTTGTGCTTCCCACTTCAGCCTGCTGGTCAGACCCTTACTTAGGAAAGGTGAAACTTGAACCTTCCTCATGGAAGTCACAAAAGCTTTTTGGCTCAAGAAGGAAGCATGTGAATTGGAGCCTCATGCAAACATCTAAGATAGTGTTGAGTTTTACTGTGGCTATGCATGTATGCTACTGCCAAAAAGAAATGCTCATCGGCATATGCCAGAAGAGGGCAAAAGCTGTAGTTTATACTTAGCTCATTCTCTGATGGGAAATAAGAACCCTCAGATTGTATTCTGCAGTAGCAGGCTATCTGTAAGTAGATTTTAGGTCAGCCTCCTTAAGTGTAGCAATGCCTAAATTAATCTGAGGGACACTGGATTACACAGCATCTTTGAGATCAAACTTTTGGAGGATCACCGCTTACCAAATCCGGAGGGCAAGTGGTGGCTACAGTGAGCGCTCTCCCTTAAAATGAAGTGGAGAAGGGGTCTTCCCTGAAGTCTGTCAGGTGAAGTTAACTATTACTGGACTTGTCCTTAAGAGGCTTTCCCTGAGGTATGTGGGACTGAAAGAAGTTGATTAGCTGTATAAATTACAGATAAGAGGGAAATGGATCCTGCCGCCGGCTCTTGCTTTCTGCCTCTGTGATTCTTTCTAGATTAACAAGGTCAAAGTTTCCTTACTTACTTTTGGGTGGGAGCACAGAGAAACTGTGCTGAGATGAGGAGATTCAGAACAATGCCATCATTACTGAAACATGCAGTGTGTGTGTATGAATGCGTATGGATGTTGGATAGCTATAAATCAAACCATAAGGTCTTGAATTCTGTCATCTGGCAAGAGGAGAATTGATCAAGTTTCAAATGCTTGATTCTGCTGCTGCTGCTTTTTCATTACACTTGTGATTTCTGAATTCGTGTTCCAGTGAGGCTCAGATATGACCTAATCAGCTGGAGGACACTCTTAGTTTACTTTTTGACTAAAAAGAGGAAGCAAGCCCAAAACTTAGATTTTTTTTACAAGGTGGTCAAACATTTTTTCTATTAAATAATATTGTGTGGAAGCAAGTTGGGTTCTTGGATGTGTGAAAATGTAGAAAGGTGATTGACCATGCTGCTTTATCATGTCCAAGCAATACAGAAATCAAAGATTAAGAGCCAGCAGCAAAAAGTGAATTGGACTTTAAAGGATTTTCTTTCTGTATAATAAAGGGAACTCCAAGCAAGTAAGGAAAGAAAATTAAAGTTAAGTTTTATTGCTTTGAATTGGTTCCTCTGTTTAAAACTGTTTAAATTCATGTGAAAAATTATCTATGTCTTGCTTTAGAAATTTTCAGAAAATGCACAAGTTACCAGGAGCTGATATGCCAGCTGGAAGGCAAATTCTGCCATGGCCATGTCATTTGCTGCAGTTAAGGTTTAGGCCAAAAGATCTTCTTTGTTGCTTGCCCATGTTACTGGTTGCTTAATTATGTGTAGGATTTGTAGTCTAGAGGAAGTGTAGCCATCAGCCCTGAGGCAGTTTTCTCTGAGTGTTGCCTGTGGCTCAAGTTGTGCAGGAGATACTGTGGTTGAATTGGTATTAAATGTCTTGTGAAGTCAATCTGCAAAGTTGGCATGGCCGGTCTTTGGTACAGTCATTTATGTGTCATTTATGTATTAGGCACAACTCACATTAATAAAAGGCAGATAGTGCTAGAGATAAATGCACTTAGGACATCCTGATAGCCAGTGAAATGTTGTTTGATTTTGGCCTTTATGATTTGGAGATGAAGTTGTGAGTTTATACATATCCTTTCCTTGCCTTCTTCCTCCCAGTAAGCCTTGGGCCGCCTCTGAGTGCATTCTCAGCTTGGTGGTCCTCCAGAGCTCTCCCAGAGCAGAAGGCAATGGAAAACCACATGCACTTCCTCCTATTTGGAGGCATTTGCTAGCAGGGGCGTTCATGGGGTGTGTTTGTGTTTATATACATGAGAGCCAGAGCTGTGCTAGAGACGGACCTGTTTCAGGTTGTACTGTGTCCTAGGAATGGTGGCTAATAACTGCCCCAAGCAGCCACCATGTGCTGCTGCTGCCTTCTGTTCTCCATGCTGTGCCACCATGTTTGGTGGGAAGGTCAGTAGTCACTCCTTTGCCTCCTTTCCCTCTCCTGTCCAGCCATGCTTGGACTCAGGGCTACCTAGGCCATCACCTCTTGCTCGTAGCCCTGATGTGGTGGATGTTAGCTTCCCCCCATGGATCTGGTGGAGATAATAGTAGGGAAAGGTGAATAGCAGTTTTCTGTGTGAAGGATGTCATACTGAGGTTGGGTGCAATTAATTATCCTTCCTTCTTTCCTGCCCCTTGGTGCTTGAAGAAACTGTC